GTCTGCCGTTTCCCTCCTGTCTTTTCATCTGGACTAAATGGAAGAAAATACTCATTCATATAGAGGGTTTAGGGTGTGAGTGTGGGTAATTCGTCAAAAATTAGAGAATATTTAACTTTAACCTTTAGTTTTGGCCAAGAAAACGTTTTTTTTTTGTCGTGAACTAGGTCTTGGCAAACTTCCAAATTTTGGCACTGAACTTGCTGATAGACACTATAATTCATTCCATACATCTCTAGTTATAAGCTAGGTTTGTCTAAATGAATATGAATTCAATAAATATTCCTGTATGGACGCAATCGACCTCATGATAATATAGAATTGTTCGAAAATTCTATGAATAATGCCAAAAAGTAAAATTAGAGATTGAACAATCATGTCTAAACTACGCTTAGCAAAAGAATAGCTGTCACTCTAATGCTCTTTTAATATGGTCATTTCCAAAATGTTGATCTTTTTTATCAGTGTGTTGCATGTTCTATGATTAAAAAGGAAATTCTGAATTATTAAGCCTATTCTGTAAATTCTTCTCATATGTCAGACAGAGAGCGCCATCTAATTTACTATTTGAATATTTTAATGATCCATTCATTACCAAAATAGTCAAATATTTGATATATTTCTTTGGATATTTCAACATCGATTGATATATTAATTATATTTGGAAAAACTTTTTTTTTTCATAATGAGTTTTGAATCGGATGATACCGATAATGATGATAATATATTACTCGACAATGATACTTCAACGGATGACAGTGAATATGGTAAAAATTCCAAAAATAAGCTCATTGAACATAAGAAAGAACCATCAAATACTGGTAAGAATACCTCAAACAAAAAAGTATTTGCTTTTCTAATTAATAAACATTTTTGTTTCTATTTATTTAGCTTCAGATTCCTCTTATAAGTACGTCGAATTCGTTATTACGAAAGAAAAAGAAACTTATTAATTTGTCTTCATATAGCTTTAGTAATTATTTAGAAATTTATGAACGAATATATAAATTCTATTGTCAAAATGAACATAAACAATGGCAATTATTATTTAGTGATATTATAAAACAATCATCAACACCTTATCAATTACTTTATATGTTTTTGGATCATACATTAAGTACAACAAATAATAAAAAACATAAAATGGTTATACCATTTATTGAACAATTTAAACAAATAAGATCTTCACATAAAAATATAGAATTAGATGAAACAATTAAACGTAATATTTTATTAAAAATTTGTCGTCGATGTATATTTAGTCAATTAGAATCTATAATCGATATATTTGATTTACGTTCAATCGATAATCAATCAATAGTTATTAATTTTATAAATGAACAAATTGAACAACAGGAAGATATTATATTTATTTCACAGTTAACGAAAATTTTAAAACTTTTAGAAATTAATGCAATATCATTTGAAAAAGTTTGTTTTGGTTTTTTTTGTTCACAAAAATTAGATAAATATAAAGAAAATGTTTTATTTTTTTATTTGAATAGATTATTATACCACTTATCTTAAAATCACAATGGGAAACTATTAAATTTATTGTTGAAGATGATAAAATATTTCAAAGAAAATTACTTGAAACTATTGATCATTTAATTTCAACAGATAAGTAAGAATATGAAATACTCTTCAAACAGATAGACTGGAAAATTCTTGAGACAAAATATTTATTTATTTTTGACTACTTCTAAAGTCTTTCTAAGAAGCTATGAGTTATGATCAGAATCCTGCATTCTTTCTGAATCTGGGCTTAGAAAGTTTCTTGAGATCAATGACATGATCTTTTGAAAGGTTCAAACAAATAGTTTGGACGAAAAAAGTTCTTCGTACATTATTCTAACGAGGGAACGTTTTCAACTGTCCAATCGCTTTTGAGTTCGAACTGT